TCTCCGACTCAGTCTTAAAGGACGATCCTCCCCCATGGCGCCACGTTCTGGCGCCTGCACATATGGTGCTCCGTGAACCCATAATTTAGAGCGAGTTGATTTTAAGGAACTCGGGATACAAGAGACTTAAACTGCTTCAGGTGTTGAAGAAAATCTACGGAAGCCGAAAGACATTACCGCGATTTATTAAGTGTCCTATATCCTGTTGTGATCTCGCTTCGGTCTTCCGTGTTTTTTTGTTCTAATTAGATTTATTTATGGCATGAAACTTAACATTGGAATACGCTAGGATTACGAAGGGCATTAGTGTAGCAGACAGCTGTTATTTATTATTGAATTAAAATAAAAGCGCGCCTCTCTGAAAAAGAACTTAACTTAAGCAGCAAGTATGTTATTAAGATATTTACTTGCGTTTCCGTGAGTTTCAAGCTTTTGCTCAGCTGCAGCCGCTTCGCCACACTCAAGTACTTGTTCTCTCAAAATTCCGCCTCCAAGGACTTAATTTGCGCGGCGGTGAACGCCGTGCGTGGCCTCTTCTTCCTTTCGTCGTCGCTAATAGCGGCGGCGGTCTTCTCCTGGACATCTCTGTCCGCGCTCGTGGTTGAATTCGCGCCACTACTACTAGTACACGCTTCTGCAACAATGTTCCGTACTTTATAAGCAGCGTAAACAATGTGGCTTCGTTGAAATACGCTCTTTAAATGTATTAACAACGGCATATTTCAAGCGACAACGATGGCGTTTACGACATTGCGAAAGGCGCTGTCGGGCCTTTTAATTATCGATTATCCGCATCGCGTAAATGTATTTTTGATGATCGAATGCTGATGTATCGGAAGTAAGTCGTCAAGCGCGTGAAAGTAACTGCAAATTACAAAGCACAGATCGCCCAGGTATGGAAACGAGAAAGTATCACGGCGGGGCGCGAATAATTGATGCCAGCACCGAAATCACGTCATCATTCACTCGAAACCCGTTGTGTTCGTTGCGGGCACCATATCTTTATCCTTTTAATCGCTTTTGAATGAGGTTAACACGCGCGAACCCATGCTGTTGAGTATGAGCGGACTCCAATTACCCCCGTGGAATTCTCTTTCTCATCAATCTCGGAACTTTTTGTCCGTCGAAGTTGTTTATATTTATATTTATCCCGGCTTACAAGACGGCCGTACACGGACGTCGCGCCGCGTGTCGTGAGGAATGTTTTCGGGCTCACTTTTAAGCGGTTGGTAACAAGACCGCGCTCTCTTAAGCGCCGGGGGATCATCTTCTAATTATCTGCCCATTCGTCATCCGAGGAAAAAGCGTGGCATCGCGACGACCGAACTTCCACACTTGCGACTTACGCTGGGAACACTATTAGTCTGCATTGAAATAGTCTTAATTTACTTCTCAAATAGCTTTTCAAATGACTTTCTTCGAAGTAGTTATTTATCAATAGTATATAATTCAACCACCATACGTTATAAAAAAAAACCAGAGAAATCTGTCAATGATCAAATAAAATACGAATGAAAAATTATAGTAACTCAAAGTCAGAACTTGAATAAAAATTGCAAAATAAAGTAGAAATAAAAAATCGTTTCTTTTTTAGATTTTATAAAATAATAAAGCATCGGTTATTTCGGTGTCAATGAATCGAAGGGTATTTAAAATTTAAGAAAAAAAAAGAATTTAGGTTTTTATGTGCGTAATGCATTGACAATAAATATTCCGAAAAAAAAACTTCACGGTAACTTCATTCCGAGGAGCGCCATTTATTGGCTACTAATTGTCAGATGGCGACGTAATTGTCATGTTTCTCGCGCGTTTTTCGTGGCTCCTTCGCCTATAGTCGTACTACAGAATCGTCGGCTAAAACTGTACCGCCTCTAATTCACTTCGCACGAAATTCACTACCGTCGTATGCGCTCGATGCAGTCTTCCATGTTTCGCGCTTTCAACGAAGAATTCTGTCAGCTGCCAAGGCAATGATAATATTTCATATCTGTATCATCGTATCTTTTGAGTATTCGAAGGCTATGATATTGAGAGAGATTTAGTATCGTATATTATGAAAATATTTAGGCAATCTTTTTTTGTTTGCCTATCAAAAAATTTTTTCTCTTTTTTTCAAATATTACATGACAATGCAAAACAATCATAAATACAAATTAATTAATCTCAACATCTACGATACGTCGTTCACTTAAACACACATATTGCGTAAAGATTATTGATTGTCATCAGTAATCAAAAGAAAGTTCAATGAGTTATTTTTACGACAAAATGAGAAATTATCGCAACCTGCTCACAACCGGAAGAATACGAAAAGAAAAAGGGGAAAAGAGTTTCACAGTCTCGCACGGCTCATTTGTCGTCGAGTTTCTGACTCGGTTGCATTGACGAACGAGCTCTGGAAAGGAGCAGGAAAGGATTGGTGCAGAGGAAGCGACCACAAAAAGGAGTCGATGACACGGAGGGCGAAGGGGAGCGGAGCTCGAGGGGCAGAGGCGCGTTGAGCGTTGCGGAAATAGAACACCACGCCTTCTGGTTTACCTAATTGCCGCGAGCCGCGGCGAACTTGTCCCCTAATTATTCGGTGACGAATGGCGCGAGGCGCGCAGAAGTGCGCGATAAAGCACGGCCAAATCTCATTCGTCTGACATTACTGGTGATTTCATGCTCGTGATCAACCGCGTGGCTAATTAATTTGTGCACGAGTCGCGACGATTGGCAAATCTGCCTAGAAGATAGTTGTATGAACGAGTTCTTTGTTCCCAGTCAAGATCTTAATATTCAAACAATAAAATTATTTAAATTATTAGCAAATTCGCTAAGAATTTGAGCAAGAAAACATGTTACGAAAATTTGAACTGGCGTTTAACGATTCAAGATATTTAACTTTTCTCTCGATATCTACGACAGATATTTCTATCTTAATGCCATTAATATTTTATTACTGAAGATTCGAGAAGAATAAAAATACAATAATGAAGAATAAGAGAAAGAGCATAATTATAACACGAGGGCGTCATATATGGATGCAAAATTGTCGTCTAAACTCATAATAAGCTATACAAAAAGAAGCGCTTCTCTCCCGCATCATTTTTACACCGTTCTTTCTTGAAGATTTATGCGCCGCGTTGACGGCTTTGTAGTTGAACGCAACGTCCCACATATCTCAGTCTCAACGTACGGCGCAAACGAGAATTGTCCTTTCCTTAGATCTCGAATTTATCGCGTTGGCCATTACGGCGTGTAAATCACAAGCCGGCTACGTGCCCTCGGATGGAAATTAGTCGTTGAGGCCCTCGAAGGCGTGCAAGATGCTGTAGAATTGAGTCGCTCAACTCTTGTATTAATTATTCGTAAAACGTAAGTCAAGTTCTTCATTATGCCGTGTCGTATGATGACTAAAATATGTTAAAGGCACTTCTATAATGACTAAAATATGTTAAAGACACTTCTCTAACGATTGTATCCTGACAGCAACTGTTATTGAAAATAATTTTATGTGAAAGAATTGCAACGCCAAGCAAATTACATTATTATTATTATTATATATGTATAACGGGCGACAGACAATAACAGTAAATTAGCTGCAGTTAACATCTGACAAAGAACTTTCGAACTATAATATGTTTATCATCAAACAATTTCCAGATTTTTAAAATCCTGAAAGTTAAATTTTGTATACAATCCTAATAGTGTAACATATTTTAAACATGACATTTTGAAAGAATCTCGAAGAGAAATTTTTCTGACATTTACAAGTTAGCAAGAGAGCAAGTTTTGCTGAATTTTCATGGCAGAATTAGCAGGAGACAGATAAATAGTGAAAGAAGAGCAGGAACATTGAGTGGGCGTGAAGCCTGCAGGAAGCAATGGATCAAACTTACAGACGACGGCCTTCTCCACGCGATCTTACGAATTCGTTACCGCAAGAAGTCTCGTGTGGATTTTATAACAATCAGTTTCTCTGGTACTGGTAATAATGTTGCCAACTAACCCATGCAAAACTAGTCCCGGCGGATCACGATTTAATACTCGACGAGCTCAAAGGCTCAAAGTAATCTTTGGAGATTTTGCGACATGCACGCACTTGCGCTGTCATTAGTTACGAAGGCTTCTTGTTTTTCTATTAGCATCGAAATTCTACATATAATACAGAACATTCAGAAACTATTATTCGCTGTTATGTAAATAAATATAAATTAATATAGAATGAAAAACAGGTAACTACCGTCACGTTATGTAAAAGAAACAAATTTTTTTAAAGAAACAAATTTTTCTTAAAGAAAGTCTTCTCGCTGTATGTACTTTGCTAAATGTGAAATAACATTTTGTTTCAAATACAAATGCATCTTTTGAAAAATATTGCTTATGGATTATATCATACAGTTAATGTAAAAAAAATTAGAATATTTTTAAACTTTATTATTTTTAGCAGCATTGCTAAATTATCGGATTCAAAATTAATTATTTATTTTTAATTTTTTGTAATTAAATTCACATATGATTACTCACAGATGTCACCAAAATTAGTTCAGGTAATTTTTTTCAGTTTATCGTGCGTAATAATATTTTATGATTAAAATATCAGTATTTATCATTGGCATTTTATTAATTATTTGATTTGAGGCAACAAACACGTGCAAATTAAATTAAATTCTACAACGACAATAACAGTGTTATCGCTTGTAATAACTTCGAAAGCTATTATCGACAAATTTAAATATTGGTGAAATCTTTATTTCGTCTGTTTTTGCTTAAAATGTCTTTATTAATAAGACGATTTAACAAAATAAATACAAGTGTTACGCACTTGTGTAACCGAGCTTGGCACTGGCGTTTATATAAGCGAATTTATTTTCGCATAAATCTACATAACGTAAAGTTATTAAATATTAAAGAAATTTGCATATAAATACTTTGAAAGCACAGGGTTTATTCGAAACTTAAATACATATCGATCAAATCTATTGCTCATCCAGATATGTTTATTTGAATGTTAAAACTTTGTAGTGAATAATCGATATTTTGAGAAAACAATTCCACATAAATCTTGATTCCTCTCAATTCAGTAATCATCTATCAAACGGTGATTTAAAAAGTTTACGGGCCGCGGCTCGCGGCAATTAGTTAAAGTATAATGATTTCTTTTATTAATTTTTCAAGCCTTTTATGATATTTGTCTTTCGAAATTATCATTTAAGTTACAATCAACAAGAAAATATTTGTACGAGAGAAAAACATTATATCACAAATATTTATGCGACTGTCTGAAAATGTAATAGCGCTAATGATACTAATGAAACTCACCGTAATACATCTCCGGCTCGGGAGATGTTGAACATATCATGTCGGTATCGTCAAGCTCAATTTCCTCCGCCATTGACATGGATGAATCGGGTGCAACAAGCATTCTCATCTCCGATTCATTACCTGGCAAGTGCGATTATTATGTTTCATTTTTATTTTCTCATTTTTGTTACATTAAAGCATAGTTTATGAAGTCTACAATTCCATATCAAGTAGAAGAAAAGATGTTGCTTTTCTCGTTATATAATTGCAAAATATGTCATTAATAAAAAATTTATTAAAAAATTATGCTAGAGTGAAATAATAAAGTAGATAGATCGTTAATAAGTATTATTATGCATTGTACGCATACAAAATAACTATTTTGTAACATCATTAATTATCGTGAAGAAATAGATTGTTAATTTCAACGATAAGATAAATTCTTGGACGAAACCTAAATAAGAACAATTTATTTACTCGTCAATCGTCTTTCTCGTAAAGACGATTGACGAGAATTGACAACGATATTTAAAATGTTACTTTCGTTACTCACCTTCTTGACACAGTAAGGATAAATCAGTCTGTTGTGGAAACTTATCTTCTTTATCTTTCTTGCTCGGTGCTAATAATCTCTCGATACTGAAGGAGCACATCCTTGGATTTCCCGTGGAATCGTTCGCTCCCTTTGACGGATCGAATTTTTTAAGCTCTTCATCAGACATCTCAAACCCGTTTTATATCAAAGTAATATTCAGAATCACCCACGTTGATCAATAGCACTTATAAATCTTTCCAAGTAAACTATATCTCTAAGTAAACTTCGCGTACATTGAAGTTACTTCTTCAAGAACTCTCTCTCTCTCTCTTTCTCTTTTATATTTTTCTTATTAATTAATACAATCACTCACTATTTCTTATCGAAAGAACCAACGTCCCGAAGATAAGTCAATCGATGATGAAACGTCATTAAAACTTTGTACGATTTTAAGATTTCACTATAACATTTTCTATACTACTTAACATGTACACTTGAATTAAATGAAATGTGGAAAAAAAAACTATTGACAGTGGAATAAATCAATAGCATAGTTACGTTGGAGCAAATCAATAGCTGGTTACATCGACACCTCTTGATCTGTTCGAGGGATTAGAGCTGAAACCAGCGACTGTTTTGTCGGCGTTACTCACGGTGTCCAACAATATTTTTTTTGGCACTCAAGTCAAATTCTTCCTTCCTCAAGGCGGTATCCCGAAGCCACGTGCTCACCACGTCATCGTGAGACCGACCAATCGCGCGAGCCTCGAGGCGGATCTTGGCAAGCACGTGTGTTTCTGGAAGAAGCTTTTAATGATCTCATAGCGCGAGACGGTAGCGACCACTAAACGGTGGTAATGAGGTGACCATAAATTTCTGTCACTGCTACGGCACGCCGTTTAATAATCATGATAGAGAACAGATGCGATGCGAGATTGATTCTGTTATAAAAGCTCCGTAACTTAATAGAGTTATTGTAAATTCTGATTATTTACGCAAACGTATTTAAAGAAAAATAATGTGTTCAAATAATATAATGAATTGTATAACTGATTTGAATTAAATTTGAATCATTTTGGATAATTTATTATATTATTGTTTTATTGTAAAAACTTAATAGAACTATGAATGCTTATAAAAATGTATTAATAATTTTACATAATGTGGAAATATATTGTCAATTTTTCAATATATTATCAAAATTATTAATGCATTAAATGGCTATATTAATGTTCGGCATTTAAGTAGCAATTAACACGTTTTAATGCGTTTGATAAACGCATTCAATATCAAAGAAATTGCTGAAATAGCTGAGGATCATTTATTATAGGTGATAATTATAATGAAAGTTATCTCCATCACTTAATACACATATTTGCAGATTACCGTAAGCAATAATGAGCTCGTTTCGAACGCATGTTCCGATAAATACGAAAAACTGGGCCTTCGTTGTATTATTAGACATCCCCAAGAAACTATGTTCCGCGAATATCCGCAAATTTACATCATAGCGACATTTCGACGATTTTGCTTCTATAAATTGTGATTTTAACGAGATTATTAGATCTTCGATCGCGTGCGCATCACAGTAATAGTGATGTTTGCAATGTAGCGATATAAATATTGCCGCGACAGTGTCGCTTTATTTACGATTACATGAGCTGACAAAGTGAATTACGCAAATTTATTTGCAATTTTATACAACTCAATTATCGATGTACATTTTTTAAATAAATTTTGGATCAACGTAAAATATGAATTTAAAATTTTAATTATGATATTCAATTTTCATTTAAAAGCAAAATTGCTTTTTAAAACAATTATGCTAAGGGGACAGAAAACCGTTTTATTTGATTTATAATAAAGATTGAAATGTGACAAAGTTCTCTAGGACCTGTCGGTGAGGTGGGTGTGTCTGCAAGCTCACGTTACCGATGCGTAGTGTTGGCTTGATAGGTTTCTGCGACGTCTCACGTTCAGAAAATTGAAACCTGTGCGGTGAGCCAAAATGTTTGTTAATTTTACGCTTAATAGATAAATGGCTATCGAGATGGTCGTAAATCTTCGTTCCCTTTAAATTTGTGCGCCGCACGATGCAGAGCGACAGGTTTCCGGCGCTTGTTTTCTCCCGCGTTGAACATATTTTTGGAATCATGTTTCGGCGCATGAAAAATTTTCACGTTGTCTTATGTTCACACCGTCATAAGTTGACACTATATCGTATTCGTTACACAGATTTTGAGAAGCTATTAGACGAAAAAAATTCATTATTAATGTTTCGCAATAAGCGAATGCGATATTTCACATTTTAAATAACATGGAAAAGGATGGTTTAATGAAAACAAGATGATGCCACAGACTTTCATATTTATTTCTTTAGGCATTAAGACAGAACCTAATCCCTCATATCTTGTGCACGTCTGCTACCATCAAAAAATAAATATCCCTAATTATTAAGTTTTCATCAAGAAATTTTTATAGGCGGATATCTAAATCATTATATACATTAAGACATTAATTATTTTGATTTACATTACATTCTTATTTATCTACTGAATCTAGTGAAAAATATGGATAAAATTTATGCTGTTAATAACATAAAAGATAAATTTTATTATTAAACCAACATTATTGTTCAAGATAACAATTATTGATGTTATCATCACAAAAATATATTATCCGAAATGAAAAAAAGGTCGACTCAAATAAATATCATTTCAAGTACTCGAACTTAAGATTCCGTGAATTATCCACAATTTACACGTTGATTTCTACAAAACTTGTTACATTTGGTCCATATACCACTTGCTCGACACCTTTTTTATCTTACGACCGTTTTTATCTTTCCTTGAAATGTGTTCTACCATTTTTTTTTTTAGAATACATTAGTGCAGCATTAAAATTTAAATAATGCTCAAATTATTGCTGGCTGTGAAACATGAGTTAACGAATATTTATTCTCGCAACTCTACGACGTATGCGTAAACGTTAAGACGTAATTTGTTCGTCGGAACTTGATGCTTGTGCGAAAAATATATTGCAGATAAGTTTTAGCGTTGTACAACGAAGAGCGTACAACAAAGAGTGAAGCGCATATTGAATACGTTAATTACAATACAACAATTCATATACCGAGAACAGTGTAATTGATTAAAAGTGATTGGTTGCGACGTGACTCGAGCAAAATTTACGATTATTTTACATTTGTTGGGTGGAGTTACCGTTCCAAGTATTATTCTCATCGTCATCATCTCCACCTGAATGCAGTCTGTGTATATTCCCTTGTGCCCTGATTGTTGTCCCTCCTTGATTACCCAAGTATCTTCTAAACAAACTGCATCATGAATAGAAATATTTAATATACTGAAAACCCTATACTTTATGCTACTTTATTACGTTGTAAATGTAGGTACAGGTGCACATCATTTCTGTAGCCGTGCCTGCGAAACAATTTAGCGTGATTATTGGTAAACCTACCCCGAAGATTGAATTACATTTCGCTGATTCGGAGGAATAGATCTATCAGGGTTGTTTGACGCTTCCGAAGAATCGCTATCAGAGTCGCCGCGTTGACGATTTGTGTCTTCATTAGTGCCAGAAAAATAACCTACTATATAGTTGTAAATATGAATAACAGGCGCAAAAACGGTCCATATGAAGCGAGAGAAGAAGCCAACATCTTGCGTTGAAGTAACCGTTGTTGTGACATTAGACTGAAAACATAAGACGTAAATTAGATAAAATGTAATTTTTTTTTACCAAAAAGAAACTTATATTATTTACATTTTTCAAAGGAAGAATCAAGATAACGGCGGTTGGGACTAGTTCAAGTTGCAGTAGGGTCTTGTCGTTTTCTTCGTTAGTTAATTCCCGTCTGGGAAATGACGTCGACATGGCAAATTGTCGGAAAGGTAAATCGATGTTTTCAAGAACGTAGTTGCGTAAACCGCGTAGAGTGCTTGACGGTTCAAATTGTCCCGTATGAGAATTGCCAGATGGTAATCTAAATTGAATTCTCGTCACAGTTGCATTACTAGGCGTTGGATTGTGTTTTGATTGCTCTTGAGCTTGCTGTCGTTGGGCCTGTTGCTATTGAACAAAATAAAAGACAACTTTTATTAAGCTGAATTCAATCAGAAATGAGAATTAAATTGTTAATGATTAAAATAATGCTAACTTGCAGCGCGAGCTCTTTTTGTTTCCGTTCCAATTTGTCTTGAGCAATTTGTAGCCTAACTTTTTGGCGAGCTACAGCTTCTTCAGCCTTTTCTCGCATCCTCTCGTCATGAGCTTGTTTTATCTCCAATTCTTGCTGCATTTGCCGCATTTTTTGCACATCGCGACCCATTTTACGCCGTTCAATTTCACGTTCCCGGTCTTTTTTTTGTTCCTCCTCCAATCGCTGTTTTCGTTGGAGATCAATTAATTGTCGTGCTCTTTCTATCTTTTCCTAAAAATATGAATAAATTTATTTATTTCTTATAATAATTATATACAAAATATATTATAATTATATACTCAGAAAACACTCTTCTATTTTTGTTCTTTCTCAGAAAAAAACTTTTACTCTGCTTCATAATACGCGTCTCTTATATTTTATGTCACACATTCGAAATTCTCAAGAATAATCACATGCATATGCACACTCATATATTGCCTCAGACTTCAATCACACTTTGAGCACATCGCACTCGCATAAACAACATATCGCATGTACTTCTATCACTGCAGACATTCTTTCAGATATCAACTTATTCTCTCACTCTCATACACTAATAATTTTAACAAAATCTTACATATATTTATATTTACATATTTAATATAATAATTTACTCACCTCAGCTGTCAGTTCTGTATTCTGACTTTCTTGTTTAGATTCAGCATTTTTCTTTGTTGATTCATTATTATCTTGTTTTTCTGTATTTAATGAAGTTGTGGGCTTTGCTGCATTTTCTGTAATATCTTTGTTATCACTCGAGGTATTCACTGCTGTAGATTCTGCCGCAGTTGAGATTAAATCTGTATGTGCATTTGATTTTACATCATTTACATTAGATGTAATAACTGTATTGTTATCGCCACTGCTACTAGCAGCTTTCTGTTCTGCATCAATTAGATTCAATGAAGATTGTTTACTGCTCTTTCCTGCCTTTGCCAATACGTCATCAATTTTTGATGCTAATTCAATTGCACTTTTGTTACCACCAACAATTTCCAATGGTACACCATTTTCCCCAATAAAGAATAAGGATGGTACTGGTACCAATTGATCTAATTATAGAATGTAAGGAAAATCTAAAGGCTGTAATAAATTTATTAATCTTAACAAAGAAAAAGATAATTGTTATATAAGAGGATACAAATCTGTGCAAAAAATCTGTAAGCTTCAGATCCACTTTCTAATCTTATAGCTACAAAATCCTCCTTCTCCAAACGAGAAGAGATTTCTGTAGTATCAATTGTCTGGGCAAATTGTACTGATGTGTCATCCTTGCCTATAAGCACATTACACCAAATTATGACAACATCCAAGTTTATGCAAACATGGCTGTTCTATTCAGGTATCTATTTTGTGTACTTGACAGATTGTCATGTACACTCGTCATGTTAGATTAAAAAATGATTTTTATAAACTGTAATAATGTATCTAACCTCTAACTTAAGGCTGTAATTACGCACCTTCAACAAATACGACGAAAATTGCTTTCTTCGATTTTGACGTGGCCACCGCCTCATTAATACTTCCCCCAAACCACTTCATTATGCGAGAATATTTGTATCTTTTGTTTCCTTATGTTTTCTGACAATATGATGACGTGACGAAGAAGACTGGGAGCGAGTACACACTAAAAATTTGATGATGAATTCGACGTTTCAAAACTAGTAAGAATCAGATGGTGTATACGATGAGTCGTCACTCTTCGCTTTTATCTGATGACGGTAATGGTTCTAGCTTTCCTCTCTCCCCACGTCTCTCTAAAATATGGTGCATTTTTTCTTACTGATAATTTGAATATCTACTAAGTCAATTACATAAATAGTTCTGTTGCGAAATAGCTATTTTAATGTTTAAAACAAGCATATATTTAAAAAAAGCATTTATTTTTTCTGGACAATTTTGACTATTTTGCAAATAGAATTGATAAAGTCTTTGAATTTTTATCTTACAAGTTATATTTCTTCTAACAAAATTTTTATAAAATATTTTATTTTATTTTAGAGTAAATTTTATGATTGCAGTTTATTACATTTACTTTTTGACTTAAAGTGACACACATTCAGATTATGTTTGCCATCTTGTTGATCCCCAGCCAATGAAATATATTCTATAAGTCTGTTCTTTATAGCTGAACTGGCTGCACTAGTTCAGAGTTTATCTTTTTCCACATTGGCAGTTTTGTGATTTGGACATATAAATATTTTATTTGATATTATTACAAAATTTAAAAAAATTATATGAATAAAACTAGTGAATTTATTGTACATAATATTATGACATGTAAGAATATAAGTAAAACTTTTTAGTAATTTTTTAATATTTTAAAGATATTGAAAGACATAATATTGTTGTTTCTTTATTCAAGGCATTATATTAGGTAAAATATCAAAAATTTCGAATGATATTGAATATATTGCAGCTACATGAATACACGTGCGTTTATGAAATGGACAAAGCATAGTCGCTTATTGTGAATCCGCCCATATGTAACTAACATAAGAAACGGCGGACTAGAACCATTTCTACGTAGTCCGTGATAAATAACATTGTTGTAGGAAACGTATCCTGTACGTTTATCTTTCTTGTTAATACTATAACTGAGTGGAAGATTTTCTCAAGAATGGCACAGTATGTGAAAAAAGGTTGGTATAATTCATAGCAAGTCTTAGCGAATACGATCATGCTGTCCGAGAATCAAACTATCTTTCGGCATGTCAGGAGGGTCAGAGGTTTCTGGTGGTAGTACTGCTTGCTTTGCATATTTTCCAATTCTAGTGTTCCGATCGTTCCAACAGTGGAACGGTGGAACGAAACGTTGTAATGGCGAGTGCGTCTGTTCTGCATATTTGATGTCGCGATAAAGTTGGGCGTACGCGTCCGTCTTATCAGTTCCTCCGAAGCGATTTCTCGTGTGTTTTCGTCGAGTCCTCGTGTCGCCGGCTCGCCTCACAAATCGTGATAACTCTGCCGATAAAAATCGCAAAGAGAACGTACTGCGTCGATGAATCATATTCAAGATATGGAAAGGAGCGACTCAAATAACACTCAATAATCTCATTACTCGCGTCGATTCCACAATACGCAACATTCCAGAGCACGTGCGACGGTGTACTACATTGGTTTAATATAGGACAGGCGTAAATTGTTACGTGATTTCTTCACGATCGTGGTGTGTAATTTTTAGCACGCACCTGTGCGCGTACATCTTTATAATATGAAATCGTAGCGAGCATGAAGGTAACCGTGTGCTTCGACAACGTCAGGGTGGTGGTTCCATGCGGAGATGGCACTCTGCTTGTGAGAGATCTTATGCATGAGGCTACTCTGAGATACAAGAAGGCCACTGGTAAAAATGATAGTATTTTAACTATCAACAGTCTATCTTCTTTAACTGGAGGCGGCTTGTTGGATCCAGATGACAGATTGTGCGATGTAGCCGATGACAGAGAGCAGATTGTGGCTCATTTTGCGAGCTCTGATATCAATCATATTGGTGGAGATGGCGCAAGTTCAGTTGGCACAAATAGTCCTGATTTTTTCCATACAGATGGCAAGGAGCAGGTTTATCCAATTGATATTCATTCCTCTATACCTATTAGTAGTATTAAGAGAGAAAGTACGAAACGGTTATCAATGCACGCATTATCAACCAGAGAACCTTCTCTCACAACGTATTCCGCTCAGTCTCTACCTAGAGAATCTCGGCGTAGGGAACCATTAGGCCAAGATTCTAAAATTTCATATGAATTCGGCAATAACATTGCATCTGGAGATCAAGAAGTGCGAGAGATTGTGATAAAAAATGAAGCAGGACCACTGGGGCTGCATGTCGTGCCATGTTACGACTTACTAGGCAACGATCAAGGACTTAGAGTCGAGGGTGTTGAACCAAATGGCCGCATCGCTAGGGATGGACAAATCGATTTGCATGACAATATTATAAAGATAAACGGTCATAACTTGTTACGCATACCATTTTCAAAAGTTCAGGAGATCTTTCGAACATGCATGAATGATCCTTGTTTACAAATTTCTATTGTTAAGCATAAGAAGAAAGCGAGGAGTGAGAAATCCTTGCACAAAAATCATGGTAATACTAGTGGAGGATCAGAGAAAACTGAAAGTGATGAGAATATCAAAAGACTTCAATGCAGCAATTATAATCTTTTACAAACTGCAAACACTAGGAAAATTGGACGGATGATAGAAATAGAGTTAACGAAAGGAAGTAATGGTTTAGGATTTAGTGTTACCACACGTGATAATCCTGCTGGAGGACATTGCCCCATATATATTAAGAATATATTACCAAAAGGTGCTGCGGTGGAAGATGGCAGATTAAGGTCGGGTGATAGATTGTTAGAAGTAAATACTAAAGAGATGACAGGTAAAAGCCAGGCGGAAGTTGTATCATTGCTCAGAAGTATTCCCTCTGGTGGCAAAGTTAGAATGATAGTATCACGGCAAGAGGAAATTTCTTCAAACATTCCGGATTCTCAGGGCACAGCGGCATCGAATCCCTCCACTGTTGACGTAGTGGATAATGCAAAATATTGGAGCGCGTTAAATAAATCGCCGGTAAAAAAGAATGATGTGCAGGATAATAAAGTGATCACTCACAGTTACGATAAATGCACGTATAAACCAGCAAAATCCTCTGAAGACATTGTCTTATCTCCACGGAAGAATCGCATGATATTGACTTTAGATATACCGGTGCACGATTCTGAGAAGGCTGGCTTGGGCGTCAGTGTTAAAGGCAAAACCAACAGCTCTGACGACAACACCAGTATGGACTTGGGGATTTTTATAAAAAGCGTTATTCACGGGGGCGCAGCATCCAGGGATGGTCGCTTACGGACCAATGATCAATTGCTCAACGTGAACGGTGTTTCTTTACTCGGTTTATCAAATTCCGATGCGATGGAAACTTTGAGAAGAGCAATGCTTAATACAAACAGCTCAGTAACAGGTGTGATTACTCTTACGATAGCTAGAAGGATATCATCGTACGACGCAAATGAGAAAAATATTGTAGATAATTTACAATCTCATCGTAAGCCAGAATCTGTTAATAGCATATACATATCGGATTCCACGAAAGTAAATGATGGCATAGTGAAGGACAAAAACACCTTAAATTCTCAGACAGATATACTGGATAACGGAGGATTATTGTCTTGCGTAACAGCTTCACCATGGAATCCTGTTATTGATAGATTAACGGAGCAGTATGGTAAAAGTAGTTTAAGAAACGAAAGTTATTGTCTTGCTACCAACAAAACATGGCTGGAGCCTGTTAGTAACGTAAAGAAGACGATTATAGGATCGCGCGACGACCGAATCGAATCAGTATTGTTAGAAGAATCCAACAATGACAGCTCTCAAGGGAACGACATCAAGCGCAACACCGAAGACAAGGACAGCCAATATTCCGGAGATCCTACGTATGACAGTCAATTATCGTTGGAAGAATTAAATTCCTCAAATAAATTTTCTCGTGATGCACTTGGCAGGCAGAGCATGTCTGAAAAACGACACGCCGCTCTAGATGCTAAAAACACGGACACTTACAAGAGGAACAAAAAATTACGCGAAGGCAGAGAAAACAAGAACGCGGAGCAAAGTAATCAGAAATCAATCAGTCAAACGAGCAATCACTCAAGTGACTTGGAAGATCACTCGAAGAGGATCGGCAAGTTGAATAATTTCGATAAACATATAAATAAAGGAGCCTTAGCTGAAAACACGAGTGTCGACAATAAAGTAAAACATTACGAAAAGTCTGTCGATCCTGCTCAATCGGAATACGTGTACACTATACCAGGATGTAATAATAAATTTCTGTTGCCGAGGAAACACTGGCTTGTTGACGACGACAGCGAAGTTACGAGCAGCAATAATATCAAAGATGAGCGAGAAGGTTTTTCAAATAGTCGCGGAGACGTGAAGCAGGCTTCTCTTAATTCAGCATTAGACGATCGATATAAGCGTTCGCGAAAAAAAGGCGGCATTCGCTCGATGCTACGATTGGGCAAAAACAGGAAATCACTTAATTTCGGCGATAGTATAGAAGCAAGGCACGAAACTAGTAACTATTGCAGCGGAACGATCAATTACATTGCCTAAACGCGAAAGCAGTTTACAACGTATAAAATACGGAATTCAGTATAAATAAATAATACATACACACTTATAGCGTATCTGCAAATATATACATATATATACATTTTCGGTATATATAAATATATATTTTACCTATATATAAATATATATATATATATATATATGATCTGTTCCAAAGTGCCTTATATATTATTAAAAAAAAGTAAATAATTCTGTATATATATATAATTTTGTACTTGTTTTTAATGGATCATGTACTTAATATGATACGAACACTTGAATATGATTTACACGATACCGAAATTAAGTAACCGGAGTAAGAAGGAGTAAGAATTATTCTGTTAACGATCGGTTCGAACTTCCAAAATATACTTCCGTCGTTCTCATCGATTTATCACGATCTATAACGATCTGGGATCTCTATTAAAGTATTATTTGATATTGAAGATAACGTCATAAATAAAATTCGCAAAAATCATGCTGGTGGGTATAAATTTCTATTTGATTATTTCTCAATCGATTTTTTGCTACAGTGTTTAATGATACTAATATATTGAATGTTTCAGTATTTCAGATTACTCCAAACACAATTCTTTACCAACAGAAGCGTTTTCGAGGCAAAATTAATATACAAAGACCCAGGCCGACGCACTTTTTAAGGGCGTTGGTAAATGAATTTCTGACGCCTTATTACCCTTCTCCAAATAAAGACAAAAAATTAGAGGAACTATGTTACAATGCAAGAAAAGCCGCGAAGAAGAAAGATGAGGAGGAGGAATATAATCCTTACCAAAGAATAATAGCACGGGAGGCCCGGAATTGGTTTGACAATTCCAAAATGGTTGCCATTTGCCATCAAAATTCTATGTCAGGAGAGGAACAGTTTGAGTTTCAAGTTGCATTGAAAAAGGTGAATATGTATTACAAACGATATAGCAAAAAGATTATGAAAATAGCATTGAAAGATTCACCTTACGCGGCGACTTTGCCATTGTATTCGACGCATTTCTCCATTGTGTTTGGTTATGACGTAAATGTTGCTGCTTTCGAAAAAATTAATAGAAAATTTCCACAAGTTATCTTATTGGGTAAGCAAAATATCTCAGAAAATATTAAATTATAAAAAATGGATGGATGTAAACTTATCTATTTTTCTTGCAGCGGGTATACTGGAGGGACGTGTGCTGAACAAGGAAAATCTTTTGAGATATGGCAAAATGGATCTTACAACGGCGCGGGTACAACTTGTTCAGTTGTTACAGAGTGCAGGCGGTAACAACTTAAATCAGCAGCTAACGCATCATCAGTCCACATTGGTTGATCGATTAAAACAGATCGGTATAAACGAGACAGCTTCGGACGAGAACGAAAAATCGGTGCCTGTATAATTAAAAAACACTTGTACCGATAATTTATGATACATTTTAAATTATCTAAAGCTTTAAGTAAAGTTTATTTCTCTACGCCTTGTATTTACGGTAGGAATAAGAACTATCGGTACAAAGTTAGGTGTGTGCTTCTTTTTATTAGTATCTCACTTCTAATTCCTTCCATCTAAAATTCTGTCACGGCCAGTGCCGGTGAGAGAAAAGGATTAATCATTGAGCAAACAGCGTGTAATTCCTATTGCACACTGTTTTATCAGAGTCGAACTTATATTAAATACATATAAAAAGCCGCATCGCAGATCTGTAAATCGTTATGTGTCAAATACGAATAATGATATAAAAGCATTTCAGAGACATCTTATTGTCATCATAAATGTCATGTTCACTTATTGTCATGGCAATTATAATTCTTCAGTGGCAGTAATTGCAACGGGGATGACACTTGATTCCATTTTCACCACATTTACAGCCACCGGATGTATCACCTTTACCCTGCAACAAGCCTGATTAATAAGATTGTAAAATGTGGCGATTAATTGTTAAATTTGCGTTCGCTAGAGTCTACATAAGCTCTTAGGGATTTTCAGAAATTATGGAGAAAAAGTTTAACTCACTCCTGGACCCCAACGCGGCCCTCTGGTAACCCAACATATTTCCGTTTTACACATTGAGCAAACTAGCCAGTCACAACCCCATTTTTTCATAAGAACGACGGCACATGTCGGACAGGCAAGTGCCTCACCTCTGTCAACCATTTCCTTGAGCATTGCTGCTGTTCTTCTAGATTCTTGATCAGTTTCTTTCGAAAGTTGCAACTCCTGCTGATATTGCTTGCAATTCTTCCCAGTGTGAACAACCTTTGAAATCAAATCTATATGCTTAATATGTTACTAAAAAAATTCTTGTTATTTTTATATATTGATTTTTTTATTTAATTTTTAAACGCATCTATCACTAAATAAGTACAATTTTGCGGCAATACATACTCCAAAAAAGGAAATAACAATGGCTAACACTTTTAAGCATCTCTTAATTACATTGTGTTAGTTATAATAGTTTTGTTGATATTTTATGCAATTGAAACGAAAACTATTGAAAACTGTATCTTAGGAAACGGTAAAACAAAACATGAAAGAGAGAATAGGCACATTTAAACATTGACGTATATTACGATTAAAACAGCTTTTAATATTGTTTAAAACATATGTAGCAATATATAAGTAAAGCTTGAAACTGTTACATTTTGTTAAAATATTGTCTCTGCATTCGCAGTAGCAGTATTTTCTATCTCATATATATTATATTTTTTATTGCATTGTGGTTTTTCTAAATTTATCTCTTATTATTTCCGATAGACGTAAAATTTTGTATAGAGCTCACCTGACAGGTAAGACAATTATTAGCTCCACACACGGGGCACAGGAAATTATTCACGTCATCGTCGTAAATACACCAACCAGGGCAGTCCGGTGTCTTGCAGTGAAAAGCCTTGTTTCCAGCGTTGTTCTCCGCTTGCGCGATCGACTTCGCGAGGTGTTGCTGATAAACTTCCGGCTCGACGAGCTGGGCGCGTAAACAATAATAGGATCATCCCGCAAACTTTATTAAAACTTAGAGCAGTTAATCTTAAACAGAAGCTTACCGCCTTGATCTCACGTTCCTGAAGGGTTGATTCACACGTATAGTCGGCGTCTCTGTATGGGCATTTCACCTCGGCTTCCTCGCAGTACGCGATTGTATTGGCAATGCATGGCCTGTGTGAATATATAATTCATGCGGCATTCACTGTACGGTTTCGGAACAAAATGTGCACGCATTGCTAATTATAAATAGACAAGTAAATAGAAAAATAGCAATTGGATAATTGCGTATTCTTTTATTTTATTTCTGCGAATTTATACTGCACAGCAGAATCTGCGCAATATTCACGCTTTAATCATATGTGTTTCGCAATAGCACTAGCATAATTGCCGCATTTGTAATGCGCATGAATCAACGTATGGAACAGATAAATATACAAGTATGATGCATCACGATTTAATGTGTAACGTGATACATACATATATACATTCAAGTATGCCAAATGCATTTCGCGATAAATTAGAATCGATGAGCGAGTGAACAATTATAGTAAACGAACGCGGATCCATCTTTTT